TAAATAATAAAAAATGAATATATATATTTAAATAGATAATAATAAATATATATTAAATAAAATATAAGATAAGAAAGATAAAAATAAGATATTTTTATTATAATAAAGATTAGAATAATAATAAGATACTTATTATATATTTCTATAATATATTACCAGAAATTTCAAAAATAAAACTATTATTTTGAAATCTAATTTCTTATAATCTAATAATTTTATTTAAATAAAGATATTAAAATAAGATTTGTGAAGTCAGAATAAATTTAATAAAGTATTTTCATTTAAATTAAATCATTAAATTTTGAGATATTGAATTTCAAAGTGACAGATTTATTTTTAGAATTACTAATAATATATTATAGAGATATATATAATCATAATCATGATATTGTAATATATATTAATACACGTGATATTGTGAAAATCACGTGGTTTTTTAAAAATATAGCCAAATGTAAATTTTGGTTTTTGCAAATCACGTGATTTATATCTTTAAGTGTCGCATACTATAGTGAGAAAAAAGTGTACGATATGATTTTTTAAGAATTTATTTATCTGATACACTGATAAATAAACGGTCATGTTTTTTATATGCGCTATTTATCACCTTCGATTGTCATTATTTATGAGATTGTTCTTATGGATGAAATATTAGTAATTGATCGATTGAGGGACCTTTTATGGAGGTCTTTTTATGGAGGTCTGACAGTACAAGCTATTTTTCAAAAATAAACGTTTGAATTTTTCTGTTACACATTGATCTTTCGATTTGATTGGTTTAGCTCTTAAAAAGGGCCCTTTTTAGGGTATTTGATATTCGATCAAATTTGACCCGCAAATTTTACGAGTCTTTGCCCATTAAAATAAAAGTTCATTAGAAACAATATGTATTATCTTTATCCTTATAAACTAAGGAAAATTGAAACAACATTATAAGTAATAGTTATAATCTTTTTAACATGTCAAATTGCATTCGAACATGCATTGAAATAAATTTTTTTAGAAATTGCACGTTACTTCAAAAGAACTAACCGCCATTACTTTCCGTGCGGACTGTATCGTTACGAAAGAAAAAGTTGCTACATTAAATTGCAACACCATATGATAACTCGGTTACAAAAGCAAGGTTTGTGAAAATCAAACAGAAAACAAAAGAAACGAATTCCATTCGTTTTAATTCCAAAAAATATGAATCAAAAAAGCTCATTACGTATACATCAATTATTCAACAAGTGTCAACTCGTTCACCCGATTCTTCGCATACACATCTTTATACTGATTCCAAATCTCGTATAGTCCATTAATGTACTGTTTTTGCAGCTCGAATATTTCTTCTTCAGTTGGATTGGCATTTTGTTTGACGGGAATTGGCTTTCCGACTTTAGTAATTATTTGATTAAATTATGTTAATTCCATTATCGAGAAACGCATATATATATATATATATATATATATATATATATTAATTCTGTATATGTCCTTACCAACAGTTACGATTTGTCTTCGATGCGGCATCAAGCCCCATTCATCTTTATATGAATACAAATTGTAATTGTTAATTAAGTTAAGATTTTGTATTCAAGAAAGTACTTATTTTAAAGTAGAGAAAACTCACAATTAAAAAGTCCACGTCCATGAAACAATGGAATAGTGACACCAGCAGCTTTCTGTATTCTTTTCTGAAACTTGTAAAGACGACCATTCGATTCATTATTTACTTGATCCCAAATGTCATTCTCGCCAAAGGAGAATACCGGCACGAGATCCGCTCTTTCATAAAAAAGCGCGTCAAAGAAATAACTTTGCCCAATAATGACTCGAAATAATAAGAGAAAGTATTCACCCTCTGTTCATGGCCAACTTTATAAAACCTAATCTTCTCTTCAAAATCAAATTATAGACTCCAGGTCGAGCACTCAAGCTCTCACCCGCTCCACCAACAACAATCAAAATCGAGTTTCCTGGCCCTTTACTTAAAATGTTCTCACATGATTGACGAGAGACCGAACAAAGGCCATGGGCCATAAAAAAATCCCGGTAGAGTGGAAGATTAAAGTTGGCAGTGAGCATTAGCATGTGGATTGTCACTCCTGGAAATACTTCGGATATATTGTTTGCTTCGGTGCAAAAATTTGTCCATGCACCAACAGAAATGATACCATGTGGATGATATCCTATATGTTTGTTGGTAAGGAGGTTAATAAATTCAAATATATGGATTTGAGATTTATAAAGTCAATAAAACCGACCAAAAACATAATTCTTTTTTGGATCCAAATCTGCTTGCTAATGCAACAAAGTTAAAGAAAAAAACGATTAATAAATGTCGATTAAATTCCTTGGAGTAAATCAAGGACAAGTAGACACTCACCTTTATTAAGCTAATAGGGAAGAACTCAGCATACCATTTCCAAAATTGCAATCGTCTACAAAAATCCGATCTTCTTCCACCATTCTCTGGTGCAATATCAAATAGCACGAACAACGAATATGCAATAACGAATGGCCAACAAAATGGAATTGTACACGCTATAAAGAATATCGCGATAGTGCATGGTAATGAAATTAACCAGAGAAAAACGGCAAATGTTTGCCTTCTTCGATTGAATGGAACATTCCATGGGGCAACACGAATTTTAGACGTTGGGATCATTTTTTTTGTCGTAATTTGATTATGATAAAGAGAGAGAAAGCGAAGAGAGGGGAATTTTATGTCGAATATCTGTTCATTTATTTATTTATTATTTATTCAGGGAAAATATTCGTTTCTCTTTTATTTCTCATAATTTTACAAATTTTCCTGATTTTGTGAAAAAAAACTCGAATAAACAAGAACAGTAATCCTTTTCATTATTATCCAATAAAAAAAAATCACGCCGTGGTGGTATTAAAATATCGCTAACGCGTTTATCTATTTTTCTTTCTTTATATGCCCATTTAACACGTTTTAATGCATGATTTTCACACAAGTATGCGTGTGGAAAGGTAGAATCGTGATTTTCTCTAACTTTATCCGTTAACACACGGTCAAATTAGGGTAAATTATCATTCATGCGAATATTTTTTAACACAAGTAATTTAGAATTAATTTTTTTATTAAAATCAATTTGGAGATGAAAATTGGTTGATATGGGTGGGGTTAATAATGAAAAAGAATGGGTTTTAATTAAAAATGAAATATAGAAAGGATTCATTGAAGAGAGACATTTCTCATCTTCAATTAAATAGTCTGCCAAGTTCTCAAATCGAAGTAAGCATTTATTTTCAGAAAGGATAGAAACAAACAGATAAATTAAAAGAAAATATCCATTAAAGATGATTGTAAAGCCAAAAATAATAATGATAATAATGCTCATTTTAGCATCATTATTATTGGTAGATGCAGTTGACAGTTCTAACGCGTATGCATGCATGCATTGCTATATATCGTTAACGTTAACATTATTAATATTAACGCTAATGCATTTAATCGTTTTTCGTTAGTCTAACTAGAACAACAACGACATCATCTACCACGCATACTAGATCAACATCAACTGCTACGAAATCTTCATCGTCAACTGCTACGAAATCTTCACCAACCTCTATTCAAACTACACAACCAACTCAGCAAGTAACCTCAGCTAGCTCACAAGAAGCAATAACATCAACTAGCGATGAAGTAACGACAACATCAACTACATATGCAGGAATTCAAACTTTAACATCGACTTTGGGAACTGAAACTGTGTATGTAATTATTATTCTTACTATGTCAAGCGAGTCAGAAGTTTATTAAACACGTATCATATTTACATTTGATTTATAGAGAGACTGGTACACCGATCCCAACACCAACATGGGTACCGACACCAACACCACTAACTTCTGAATTTCCGTATTCGGGTAATGAGAGAATGTCAGGAAATACTAGTTTAATTTTTATTGTAATAGGAATAAATTTATGTATGATCCTTTTAACTTGAGTAGTATCGCAAACTTAGCGTTAAATTTATTTATTTAATAAAAATAATAATAATAATTCTGACGTTTCTTTTTATCGTCATATTTTTACCGCTGATTATAGCATTAAATTACATTAAACATTATTTGAAATTAAATTTTCTGGCACCAACATTATTTTTATCTCTGATTATAGCACGAAACTATACATTAAACATTATTTAAGATTAAATTTTCTGGCACCAACAATTATTTTTATCTCCACTAAATTACATTAAACACTATTTGAAATTAAATTTTCTGGCACTAACATTACAGCAAATTGAATAACACCTGCCATTACCAAAGCCGCGCCAACAATCCCATCCCCTACAATCCTACTCTGCATCGCTTCACCAGTGACTGTGTTCTTGACTTTCTTTTCACCAGGGGTTTTTACTTTATCGATGAATTTTATTGAATTGGCAAACTCACTGGTTAACTTCCCGATTTCCTCTATGGCATTTACCTCGTACAGTTTGAGAATGCTCTCATTTCTTTTTTGGAAAATAAGATGGAAAATATTTATAAATAAAGGATAGTTGACTTTAACTACTAGCATAAGAAAATACAATCACCTTTGAGAACCAAGTCGCTTTCGGACAGCAATGAAATTCGAGGTTCCTATATACAAAATTGGGAATGCCAGCATTCTCCACCATCTGCTAACTCCAAACAAGATCATAGGTAACAATAATCCAAAAGCCAACATAAAGGCCAATAATGATTTCCTAACCATTATCCATCTCGTATGCGAATCAATCTTCTGTGCCGCATCCTTTATAAAGTTTTTCAATGAGCATTCTCGCATCATATTATGCACATGTTGAACAATTGGCTCAAATATACTCGGATGAGTTGTCTGCGTGGCAAAAAAAATCACGGATTTTCGCATCGTCGATGGAAGGTTTAATTCTTTTGCAGCATCAACGGCCAGATAAGTTTGTATGATTTGGTCGACTTCGTTTCGGAATGGCTGAGCTGAAGTTGCGAAATTTGCTGGTAAAGGTGCAACTTTGCGATCTCTTCGTTGGAAAATTTGTACTCTTTTGGTGATTGTATTGCGAGAAGACAACCAAAATGATGATAAACGAGTTTTTGCAGGTGTAAGTGGTTCTAATTGTAAATCATCCGGATTAAGATCTTTGAAAAACGGAGAATCTGGTGGAAGGACCTGTGCAAACAGGTCATCGGTTGAAAAGTCAAAGTTATCAAAGGTGGAATCAACTTTATCTTGTGGGTTTGTGACTTTGATTTGAATATTTGAATATTGCTCAGAATTCAGAGTCATGATAGAGTTTGTCCTTGACGTTAGAGGAGTTACGTAAATAGTTGATGTAGACGAATTTCTTTTCATGTCAGTTAAAGAAACATCATCAAAATCATCTGTCAATTGAAAATTTGGTGTATGAAGCTGTGATGTTGTTGGTGAAAGTGATGCTAATTTCTCGCCGTATTTTCTCGATTGCTCCGTGTGAACAGTTAATTTTTCTCCTGTCAGACTAGAACATCGCCTTAATGTTCTTGCTGTCGGACATAAGTCTTGCTGCTCTACCGGAAGCTTAGCAAATCTGAGTTTATAGTCTTGAAACCATTGATAGAATTCTGTAAAAAAGAAACACAAATTATTTCTAATTCTTAAGAAAATAGATGATATGTAATTGTGCACTTACCGAGATTTTCAACTGAGTGTTCTTTATATTCCAAAAAAGCATGAAATTCCTAAGTAAAATATGTTTTTTAAAAAATCTGACATAGAAAACTTTCTTTGCATCACTGATTTCTTTACCTTTAACGATATAGGCCCGCATGTTTTCCCTTCTATTAATGAATTCAGAATAAATTCAGTTGCTGAAACATTGGTTTTCGCTACTTTTTTCTGCATCGCAGCTCTTTGAATATATGAGTATGATATATAAAAGACAAATACCAAATAATCTAAAATGATATATTCCTTTCGATGGCAGAATAATCGAGTATTCAATAATTTGGTATATTAAAAGATGAATTGATATAAGGAAGAAAATGAGTCAAAACCATATGCTTATAATGGGATTAAATTTTTTGCTAATGATAAAGCGAATTTCTTCTTAACATGAAAAGATACACCACTTTGCACTTGCACGAACAGATTAAAAGAATATGAAAAGTCTATTGGATTATATGCTGGTAAAGATAATAAATACTACGAAACTTTTTCGAGCAGTAAATTACGAGTACCATGTGCCTCATTTGTGAATATTTCTTTTTTGGAAAATAATGCATAGCTGAAATCATAAGTTAATTTTGTCCAATGAACTTTTTTTAGCAATAATAAATTCTGAAAATGCTCAAAAAAGGGAATTAATCAGTCGATCAACCACACCATGCTTTCTTGTCACCCATAACTTTAATTGATTTCGAATTCCAAATTGGAAAAAAACCAAAGATTTAATTTTTTACCACCGCTACGAATATAAAAGGCAATACCTCATGATGTCACGCAGCCATGCCAAGATTTTATTGAAATTGAGTCCACATTGTCGCAAGGTTCATAGTAAAATTTAACAGAATCAGCGATGGATATACTGTTCTAATTAGAATTTATCACTACGTAAAAATACTTTGATTGTCAATTGTGTTCCTTTATGGTAGTTCGCCCGTTTTCTCGTCATCTTAATATCAAGCGTCAAAATCAAAATTATTATAAACTTATTGCTATCTTTAGTTCGCAAACCGTCAGAAAATCAGCATCTTTTATTCACAGAAATTCTATTTTTACTAGGTTTTCCCTTAAGATGGTTTTGCTTCAAAAGGGATTTTTGTTCATGTATATTTTTGGCTGATGATGTGTTGTTATATTCGTAGTCACGTTTACGCAGTCAAAGTCGATATAACTAACGGACGGGTCGGTTCATTAATGAAAAATCTGTTATATCAATGATCCGTTATATTTATTATAGACTGTTCTGGAAGTGCTCGTTTTAACGATGACTGTACAGAACATCGAAAATTTCTAAATACTGGTGTTAGAAATCACATGATTTTCTGTGGACTCGAAACGAAAGGCCATTGACCAATGAGATTGCGTAAATTTTGATTGGGAATTTTTTTACTTGAAATATCACCAATTTCCATTTATAAATATCATATAGATTTCTTTTAATCTATAGTATATCTAGATGCTCTTAATATTTTGATTGCTCCCTCACGTTCTTTTATAATATTATTTAATTCTTTCTGATCTTTTCAAGTTCTTTTTGTGTATATTCAAGTTTTACAATTTTTAAATACGAGTTCTTCATTTCTTTCTCGAAGATCATTTCTTTCTCAATTTCAAGTTCCTCATCTTTAATCACGGGTTCTTCGTATATAACTTGAAGTCTTTAAGAAATTCAAAGATCTGCTCTTTTTTATCTTCAAGTAATTCATTGTTGACTCTGAGTTTTTGATTTGCTTCATATAGATTTTCGGTGTGTCTTTTGAACCATTCATTCTGCGTTTCTAATTCGTCAACCGAATATTGGAGTTCTTCAGCTTGATACCGAAGCGTCTTGATTTGGTTTTCATAATGATTTAATGTATTATTTGTAAACTGGAATCGACCATACTGATTATGAAGTTCGTCGAATTCTTGTTTCAAATTTTTATTTTCATCTTCGAGCTCGGAAATTCTCGCTTCTAGCTCATAGGTATGATTTTCATAATCCGCAATATCTCCTTGCAACTCGTCAATAGATTCTGAAAGATGGAAATTTTGATCGCTCGCCCCTTCAAATTCTTTTTTCAGTTCATTAAGCTCATGTTGAAGAAAATTAATGTATCCCGCGTGTTCCGTTGGAAGATTGACGATTGCTCGCCCTTGTCTGCAAACATTCCGAATGAGAAGATGTGATTCGACTGGTAAAAAAGAAAATATATGGCATATGAACTCCAGGGTCGTTAAAATGTTGGTGATCGGAGAGATCATAGTTAACATTGACATTGTTTTGTGAAAACAATCAACTATTTTTTATCGTTCAAAAAATTTAAATTGTTTTACACAAGAACAAAGAATCAATTAATAAATGCGAATAATGTGGCTTGTATAAAAATCGGGTTTAAGACTGAGCAACTAAATTTAACATGCAATTCATCTTAGATTAAAAATGTTTTGTATTTATAACTTCTTGATTAAGAAGTTATTACAATTTAATAAAATACAAACATTTTAATTGCACCATATAAGATCAGATCCCCTCCAAAACCATCTAATAAATGTCCCTTTACATCATTTATAATTTATAAACGCAGATTCCAATTCAATCTGCCTCATTGATATTTAGCGGGGCAACAGTACTATATAAAGTTGATTTCTATAAGGGGATATTTTACATAAAAAATCCTTCCTACGACTTATGTGGCGCTATATCGCTGCGTTTGAATCTTTTATTTTTGATTTGGTTGATTAAGAGTGAAATTACTATAAACGTTTTTATCTGTATTTAGTCCGAAAGTTCAAATTATAATTTTTCGACTTAGATCAAAAGTGCACAGAATTTTGTCAAATTTGCTGGATAAAAGACGGAGATATGAAAAGGATCCACGATTTAAAAGGAACGATTATTTTCCTACTAAAATAAATCTTATAATAGCAATAGCTAGATAAATAAATTCGGGAAAGACGATTATGATACGTTCTTTCAGATATGCCTGTAAACAAACAATAATGGAGTTTCTACAATACACTAAATGCGCTAGCGCAGTACCTTGCTTTCGATTTACGGACCGTAGCTGATAAATTGCATAAAAGTGATAGCAAATAAGAATGTAGTTTGCAATATAATTACAATCCTTATCGCTACTATTATGATTTATTTTTGTTGTTGTTTTTGTTTATCATTTGTCAAGAATTAACAATATGTCGGCAATTTTCTGCGGTTCATAAACAACTTGAATGTGTAAAACCAAGATACGTAACGTTAAATGGATTATACCATGTGAAAACTTTGATTTTCTGATTTGCTTTCACTTTTAAAAAAAGTTTGATTGTTTATTACGTAGCTCGAATGAAGCTTTAAAGATATCATAAGACTTTGATATTTATTTCTCACAATCGTTTTTAGTAAAAAAATCGTGCTGTTTGTTGATATTCTTTTCTTTTACATTCATATTCCAAACAATATTGTATGTATATTGAGATAATAGCATACTTTCATTATTTAGATCACCAATAAATAATTGGGCTTTGCTCAAACAAATTATGTTCTTGTCTTCGTCTAAATATAGAAGCACATTTTCAACAGATTGATCCATACGGCGGCATATTTAATTCTTATCTGCTAAACTTTTCAAGCTACGAATGTTTGACATTACCACGTTATCCAGGATATACTGAATTTAAGTCCGAATAATATGATAGAAAGGTTATGGTTACTTGCAAAGAACTTGAGAAGACGAACTTAATGAGCGCCCGATTATATTAAACAAAAAAGATTGTTATTTAGATTCATTTTCTCATCGACAAAAGATCTTTGGGTGATTTTATTTACAAAAGTCCGAGGTCCGATTTAACGAAATGCAACGTTTTAGAAAATGGACATTATTCATTATACGCACATGTATAATCAAATGATGCATACAAAATTTACAATGTGAATATTAATCTATTATTACGTTTTCATGGAAATCATTTGTATTTACTGAAATGACGCAAAAATTAGAACCTATGATTCTAATTATACGTATTACATGTTCATTCGTACTCATGGCTAAATGTCATCACCAGCATCAATCACAAGGATTGTTTGAAACAAATTCTGAATTAAATTTTTATATTGATATGTTATATTTTCTATATACCTAAACCTAAATTAAATATGAATACATTTAATAAATAATGATTATTCTCAATGCATAAAAAGTTTACTAGATTACATGTTGGAGTAATTTGTTCCCCTGAGAGGATTTTCAAAATCTCATTGTTAAAGAATATTATAATATTTTCGAGGATTATTTAGAAAAACAGCCTTCCCCGCCTACAAACTTGCTCAAACTGATCATCGAATATCTCTGCAACAACATTTTCAAAAACCCCATCACTCCATTCACCACCACCACAAGTAACACCAATTTTGTTTTCATGGGGTTCTTTGGTATCAACCAGCCTGGTATTTTCTCGTATCCACGGAATTCCGCTAACAAATATTCGCAAAATAGCATAAATTTTTTCCAAATATGCATCGTTACTCGTTGATGGAAATGTATTTGCTTTGTAGTCAATATCATGACCTGGGTTTTTGCCATTTCGGGTTCCTGTTTCCATTTGTATGCTGTTATTATCGTTATTATTTTCATTATCATTGTTACTGTCATTATTATTGACGGAGGTGCCTTTTCCTTCATTTATCATAGGCTCGGATTTGATAGCTATTGGAAAATCGTCTTTATCTTTTTGTCGTCTTCGATAAAATATCATCTCAAATAGTTGCGAGTACGCATTTGATTCTACTAGCCCATTTCCATTCTCGATGATTCTTTCCTTCATAATTGGTCGTAATTCCAATTTTTCAACCCCAACTTTAAGAATCTCATCAGTTATTTCTTTATTCAGATTCCCAGAACTCAATTCATTCACAACTGTTTGGAAACGATCTTGTATCCAATGCTGTAAATGTTGTAAATGTTTGAATCCAGTCTCAACCGGGAAGTTCAAATTTCCATTTCGCACGATATTGTCGTTCGGTTGACTGACATCACGTATCAAATGAATAGTAGTAATGGCATTCAAAATTGGAGCAATTCGAGGTCCCAATATTGATTTGGCTGCACGTGGATTATAGTTAAATGTAATGTTTGCCCTCTTGCAAGCAACAAAAAATTCGATTCCGCAAAAGAATTGAAAGACGATTCTATATTATTGTATTATTTAGGATTTATAAAAAGGGGAAGGATAAAAGAAACCGGAGATATGGCGGGAAACACTTTAGTTACCTTTATTTGTAAAGGAAAAAAAAAACGATAAAAAATATGAGCTCACACGACGAATAATATAAATTTGGTTTATTTTTATTTTTATATCATATTTTTTATTTTTGTAAATTACAAAATTAATCGAAGTTACAAACCTTTTATTGAAACTAAAGGTGTCGTCGGTATCATTTGCCGATGAAAACTTCGATGATGTTGTGGTAATGAATATGGACTATAGCTATTTGAATGTGGTCCATGATGATTCTGACTTTTTAAGTTATGACTATCACTATTGCTATTGCTGTCGTTAACATTAAAACTACGTATTATATGAGATGAAGATGCTGGGGAAGAAATTGGAGATGATAGAGAGGAGTGGGAAGCTTTAATTGTGGGATGACTATTATCATTAATTATCGATGTATTATCATCTGATGACTGTACCGTGTTTGGTATTAATTCTGATACAGAAGTTGAAAGATAATTTTCAGATGTGTTTTGCGGAACGATTGGATTTTCCATAATTAGTTTAAGCATTGCGGCGTCATCATCAGCTAATAAATAAGGGAATTGTGTTTGTTGTAATGACGATAATTGTGATGATTGTTGTTGACTTTTAGGTTGCAGAGCAAATGAATTGATAAACAATGGTGCGTAATTTGGTAATGATGATGATTGTTGTTGTTGTTGTTGTTGCAATTGTAATTGTTGTTGAATCTGACTTAACATTTTCTGTATATGCTCAAATCGTTGTCTCCCTATATTCTCAATTTGATCCAATCTCTCATGTAAAGATTTAATTAGTTCCTCTGATCGATCTTCCATAATAATTTCTTCATTATTATACAAATTAAAATGTTCATTTTCCAATTCATTTTCCGATTTAATTGATTCGACCTGTTGGTCATTTTCTCGTAATTGGGAGAATGTCGGAGAAGACAATGAAGATGGCGAAGATTGATTGAGAAAAGCTGCGGGTGGTGAATAAGAAGTGTATAGGCATCGATTCTTCGATTTTATACAAGCAGAACATGAAGGCGTTTTACGATCACATTTTACTTTACGTTTCTTGCATGAAGAACAACTACGATTTGGACTACCGAGAGCCGATGTATTCATTGGGGATAAAGGTGGAGATGGGACGAAAAGTCTGTTTGTATTTGGATTATTCACTAAATGTGTATTAGATGAAGAAATTGTTGGTTGAGATGGCGAAGAAATTGGCGAAGTAGGAAAGATTTGTTGTTGCTGAACAGTTGTAAAATTATATAAATGATTATTTGGTTGATCTTCGAAATCACTTGTTATAAGTGGTGTGATATTATTATCGCTGCTTATCAAAACTTGTGATTGTTGTTCACTAGTATTATGCTGATGATTATTGTTAATTGAAGTGATATTACTTGTTGGTGCAAAATACATCATAAGATATTTGTTTGTAAAAGAAATTTTCAAATCGCAAGTAAAATGAATACTCTGTATTTATACTTTTTTTCTTTGATGAATAAGGAATTTATAATTTTTTATATCTATTATATAATTTAGGTTAGATTAATACTTTTTGGTTAAAGATTTTATTGATATATAAACTGGGGCTTTTAAGTGTTTTCTCAAAGTATAATTCTTTTTATATTTATTAACACAATGGGGCCATTATTAATGTATTGATACGCATAAATAAAATTTCCAGATATTACTAGATTAATCGTAAACATATTCGGTCATGCATGCATGATGTCATTGTATTAAACATTTTTGCGCGCTTATTTAGCTTAGAAATTCGAAAAGATATGATAATTAAAAGAGTGCTGCGCCAAAAATATGTTACTTTTACTACCAACAAAGCTGCGGATTGTGATATTATTGTAAAGAGTATTCGAGTGTTTTTTTCATCTTACGTTATTCTTATTATTCTTATTCACACGATTAAAAATTTTCCGTCATCTCATTTTTATTTTTTTTTATATTATGGATATATTTAGAAAGAATGCGAGTCCTATTTAATACCAATCTCGATACACACGATCGTATCTCATACATAATTTTATTTGTTTTTTATACGTCCGTGCTTTCTTTTTGGATTTCTATAAATGGAATTCTGACTTCGGAGAATTTCTTCCAAGATAATTCATGATATTAGGGTTAGGTAATAATTTCATAATTCAAATAAGTCATTTACATGTAATATTTATGTGTGTGTTTGTTCTGGGTATCAGACAGAGCAAATCGAGTTCGAGTCGGAAACTGGTTTTATTAAATCTTGGAATATCGCTTTAAAACCCATCAAAAGTTGTCTAGTTCTTAAAATCGTTAGATGTTATGATGCAAGTATTACGTACAACCTTTTTTCTAAATATAGAGATGTAGAGGTACCCGTATTTGGATTTTTAAAATAAGGTTGCAATATCAGATTTATCGTCGGAAACAATGGGACAAAAAGACACATGGGACATGGGATCTTTTTTGTAGTTCAGAAAGAAAAACTCTCCGAACGAGGATTACACATTACTAGCCACGAAATGACTTCATCAGCCACACTCCATCAGCCACACTCAATACGCCATAACAAATATAGACAAACAATAAAAACAAAACCAATAAAAAATGGAAATTTTTTATTACATAAAAAAATCCAAGCTATCAAGAAGCCCTCATAAGAGTAATGAAATCCGGAACGAAATCTTGGCAATTCAATTGTTTATCTTAAATTAGATCCAAAATGTGGAATGTTCAAACAGGTGATGATCAGTAGCATGAAATCGGTTAAAATCGTTACCCGATATGATACACCAAAATGAAAATTTTTCCCATTCCGTTATGCCAAGACATTTAACTGATAAAAGTTGCAAATTAATACCGAGGATCGGTTAAAACAATAATAAAGAAAGATAGAAGAAAGTTTATTCATTAATAATATTCGAAAAATTGCTAGGACGAATATAACATTCATAATTGCGTTGAAAATTACGTTTATTAATGAAAAGGAATAAATCCAACATGTCTTGATTAAGCTCGCATAATAAAAAGCCACAGTGCTAATCACGAAAACCTAACAAATAACACGTAATCATATCTTGATAATCAAGGACTTTGGCTAGATGCATATGCACCCTGCCGGTATTAATAAGCTTTTCCCGGAACTTAATATCTAAAATTGACTTGCGGAATTTGCGGCCCTTTTAAACTTCCTTTTCTTTATTATTGATTAAAAGACACGTTCCAAAAAATCTTTGGTTAAAATCGGTTTAAGAGTATAGTATAGAAATCTAGATAGGTAACAAGAAATTAACTAGTTGTATAAAAGAGAAAGTTGCTCAGAATGTGGAAAGGTAAAATTAGTCAAGAAAACTAGATAAAGTGAATATGGGAATAAAACAAACCGGAAAAAGGATTCAAAATCACTTATGTTAATGTTCATTCTTCACGAATGGAATCGTGGAGGACCAAGTCTGGTGATGACTGTAAAAAGATTTGTTGCAAGGCTATACCTTATCTGATTCGGCATTAATAAAAGGAGAAGGTGTTGGCGCCCAGTAGCAAAATGACTGATGCTCCAGGCAGAACGACGTTGCAGCTGCATTTGCATCTCTTCCTTTGGTGGTGTAGTTGATCCTCTTTGCTGGGCACTTGGGATAGACGCATTCAATTGCATCATGCAAGCGAACAACTCATACTTTCCCCCCAACAATCCTGCGGGCATGATGAAGAATGGCTTTGGGCACGTTTTCAAAGTATTATACTCATTCGTAAACACCACGTATCCGTAGACCCCGCACCTGTTTAATTCCTCGTCGAGAATGCCCATCGCTGTTTATGCCTTGCCAGTGCCCAACGCCAATGAATCAGTAATAGTTTTAGCTAATCCATGTGGGGTACCACGTACCAACAGACAATATCGAACAAATTGCGATCGTGTAATATTTTTTTGGAACGATTTCAATTGGCTTTTTACGCGTAGAAAAAATAACTTTGATGATATAACGATAAGCGATAACAATTAGTAACGTATTTTGCGGAACATAAGAAAATCCCCGTATTGATTTTTTGCCCTCCCAAAAAAAACGCATGATTATATACCCTATTTTATTGTTCGATGACCAGATGACCAATTAAAATTAATTTTAAACTCAAAGTTTTGACACTGTTTAAAAAAATAGGATACAGGGATGTTGCTTATATTTCGCAAAAATACGTAATATTCAATAGACTTGCAAAGATTAAATCCATGAAGAGGTTTGTTCTTAAGATACTGTACAATTTGCTGTGTCAGTGTTGGCTCTCTTCCTGTAGTGGTTTTGAGTATAGCTAGGTCGCGAGAATAAAAACATCTTTTTGCTCGTGGGCGGTTTATTGGAGGCTGATTCAAATGCTTTGTTCACTCTTAAAATAAATTC